GGGCGCCCGGGTGCTGGCGAACGGGTGGGTCCGTCATGAGGGGGAGGACGGGGCAAGGGAGAGGCCCGACTCAGGTCACCAGGAGGGTTGGGGGTGCCCGGGTCAGGTCACCAGGAAGCGGGCGCTTCCTGCGGGACCTCGGCCAGGAGCAGGGCACACCTGGGGAGGAAGACAGCTGCCCACACTGGGCGCAGAAGCATGAAGGCCGTGACCCTACGGAAGCCCTTGCTAAGCAGTGAAGGGATGGCTTTCAGCAGCGGCCGTGAGCCAGCCCCGGGCAACAGCAGGGAGCGCGTCTCCCCGCGGCTGAGCCCTCAGGGTGCCCTGGTCGCTCTGAGGAGTGTGTTGGCGCCTCACAGGAGCAAACTAGTCTCCTGCGGCTTACAGGTAAGGCTGAAGCGGAGAGGCAGGTGACTCGCCCAGACTCACTCGGCCTTGGGACTCCAAGTACGGAAGAGGCAGCCACTGCAGAAAGCTCTGCTTCCGTTCCGACCCCCGTGAGGAATGAGGCGCCTACACACACACACACCCACACCCACACACCCCCAGTCTTGGTATGCTCAGCTGTGGGAGGCTGTGTCTTCTGCCTTTGCACACCCAGTTTCTCCACTCCTCCAGGCCTCGGGAGGAGGTGAGCTGAGGAGACAAAGATGAGCTGCCGCCGTCTGCCCCTCCATGGGACAGGAGTGGTGCACATGCCCAGGGGTTAGCGGCTGCTCATGTCTCCAGGTAGGTCTGCACTGGGAATGTGCTTATCTGAGAGGAGCGCTGAGGAACTCTTGCTCCAGGGTGACCCTTAACCTTCAAAACGTGGGCCTCCTCGTCACATAAAGAGCGTCAGGAGCAATGCTCAGCATCCGAACCCTTCCCCAAGGCTCTGGGTGCTCTTGCCAACACGGCACCTCCCGCTCCCACCTTAAGTGGAGGAACCTTTTTGTTGCAATCTGGTTTGCTTGTTTTTATTTTCACAGAACACACGTCTGGCTTTTTGTCAGAAGTCTTCATGGAAAGAGTGGCACGTGGTGGGATGAACATCTTTCTGAAGAAAGTGTCCCATTTGTTAAGCAGTTGGTCTCTGATGAAGATAAAGCTCAGTTAGCAAGGAAACGGTGTCCCCTGAAAGATGAGCCGTGGCCTCGACATCCTTGGGAACCAGGTGATCATTTTGCGTTTTTTGAGTTCTCATCCTCTAACTGCTGTGTGGCCGGACACATTCAGGCTCTTACTGACTGCGTGACGAATTCATCCTCTCTTGAGTTTCTTTTTCATGTCTTAAGCGTGTCTGTTTTACTGTGGTTTGGTTTGCAAGTTGATCTTCAGACTCTGGTCTACCTTTAGTGAATGTCTGTTGATGATAACACCCTCCTTGAGAAGCTGTTCCACAGGTGAGAGGGGACTCGTTCTGTACACCTTCTCCTGTTCCCCTCAGGTAGGAGGAACATAAGATAAACCGTGGCTGGAGGAGCACAATGTGAATTGTCTTGTTGTGTGGTGGTTGTGGTTGGGATGCTCTTGTACGCTAGGTTTGGCACACACAGTCCCCCGAATCAGTACTTTGTGTCTCACAGAGTGCTGAACCCATGTGTGACCAGACCGAGGAGAATGAGGTCTTTCCTGTTGAACGTGTGGTCTCTGGCTGGGATTTATTGTGACAGTTGAGCTGTGTAGTGGCCAAAAGTTCTAAGTGGAGCCACTTGACCAATTACGCCACACATCTGAGGGTCATGTTGAAGACTCACATACATATTCTAGCAGTGTGACCACTTGTGGCAGCTCTGTAGCCCCAGCTGATTTCTTAGAATTTGAGTGATAGGTGTTTTCTAGTGAATAAAGTTTTCTCATGACTAAAAAAAGCAAAATAATGGGTTTCCCATGCCCTCTGTTCCTGCCACTGTTTTAAAGCCAGACTATATCAGCTTATCTGTTTATTTTGTACCTTTCTCTTGGATTTGCTCATTTCACAAATACTTACTGAGCACCAATGTATTATGCCAGGAATGACTGAAGGCACTTACATCTGTAAGGAGCAGTCTTGTTTCACTCTATGGACATATCAGCATATTTATTGCATGCCTGCTCCTCAGTCTGAATCCTGACTTTAGGAGAGATGCTGCATCGTGTTGGTAAATGTTGGAATGGCTTTTAACGTCAACTTGCTTTTAACTGCCAGGTTCCTCTAGAGTTGGCCTGATTGCCTTGAAGCTGGGCATGATGCCTTTATGGACCAAGGATGGTCAGAAGCATGTGGTCACGTTACTTCAGGTGAGGAAAAACAGAAGCCGTCAGGGGTGTGGGTGTGCCAAGAGCCGTTGATGCAGACCTTAACGGGCATCCTGGAGTACGTAACTGTATGGTGAAGAAAAGGTTCATGTCAAACATAGATAGTATTGAAGCACCTGTGATGGCTTCGGGAATGTTTTGACCCTTGCCTGAGTGATGGCCTTCTGATACTGATGTTGGGATAACTGAGGCGATGGATTTTTTTTTAAGTTTAGCCTAGCTTTTCACGGATTACCAGTTTAACTCATAATCAGAAAAAAATCTCAGTCCCATTTTATTTTCATGTTTGGAATTCTTTCAAACCCACATTACAATTTTGATCTTTTTACTATCAGGATGTAAAGGTCTCTTCTCTGGAAGGAGGCTGCATCTTGTTTACTGGTGGAAGGTAGAGTCTAGTGGTTAAAAATGTGGGTCCTGGAAGCAGAATACCTGAGTTTCACTCCTGATTCTGCCACTTACTTGCTATGTTCCTTGGAGCACTGTACCTCATATATAAAAGATGTCATTTCATTCTGTAAAGGAAATGATTATAACCTACCTCAAAAGGTTACTGTGAGCATTGCACAAGATGGCGTCAGGCCCTTGAAACGATGCTAAGTGCCCAGCAAGTATTAGCTACTGTTGTCATTATCATTGTTCTCAGGAAAAAGTCGCTGAAAAAGTTAGGAATCTATCCCTCCCCGGTCACTTGGGACAGCTCAGGTCATCGTTGGGCCTAGTCATAGATGCTGACCCTGCAGGTGGTGATGATTCAGATGAGAGTTTGTGCAAGTAAGTGTGGGTGCTGGTGTGGTGTGGCGAGCCTGCAGACCCTCAGAAGACTGTATTGGCTCTGATTGACCAAGTGTGGGACGGTCATTTCCAGAACTCTGAAGAACTTTGGGAGCTTTCAAGAGTGGCTGGTGGGAGTATAAACTGGTACAACCATTTTAGAAAACAATTTAGCATGATGTGATAAAATTGAGATAGGTGAGCTCTGTGATTTAGCAACTCCACTCCCGAGAGTTATAGAAAACTTGAGCAGGTGTGTCCCAGGATTCCTGGGCAGCAGCATTTAAACCAGCGTCACACTTGGTGCCCACAAACTAGACGTGACCAGTGTCTGTCAGGAGCAGAATGAGCAGGTAAATCATGGTGTACTCGCCACAAGAAATGCTGTACGGCAATGCTAATGAATAGAAGGAAGCTACACACGATACAGAGGAACCTTCCATGGCCGTGTTGAATGGAGGGGGTGAGACACAGAGTAGCACATACAGTCTGAGTCCATGTATGAAAATCTTGAGGCAGGCGGCACCAACTGCGTTTCCAAGCAACGCTTCAAAGGCACTCGTTATCGCCATCGGTGTAGTTACTTCCAGGGAACCTCGGTGTCACCTGGAGGGCTTATACAGTACAAGGACTCCGATTCCTTGGGTCTGGGTTGGGGTCTGAGACTGTGTTCACCAGGTTGCTGGGGACCACACTTGGAGAACTGCTCTAGGGCAAAACCGGGAGCTGAGTAGGAAGAGACCCACGGAGGCTTTGGGGGTTATGCTTGGTCTGGGTGGTAGCGACAGGCATGTTTCTTTATAGACGCTCCTTTGATACACATTTGTGTACTCTTCTGTGTGTTGTATTTGACCATTTTCTTAAAGGTTTATTTAAATGTTTTGAGATTGTGGTTGGTGCTAGAGAGATGATGAGAGAAATAACCTCAGGGAATTCCTAATCGTCCCAGGCTCTCTGTGTGGCTGGTGCGTAATGTTATAAAATTTATCTTGGCACATGCTTAATTTTTTTCTTTCCTAGGTACAAGACTGTCATGTCCTAAAATATACTCCAAAGGAAAAACACAATGGAAAAATGGCAGCCCTGTCTGTAGGCGGAAAAACTGTGTCCCGTTTCTGGGTAAGGCTGTATTTTCACACCTGGAATAGTACACTTTCCATTTGTTTCATTCCACCTGAATGTTTCTGTGTTTTGAGATTGTTCCACTGCCACAAATGTGCGTTTGTCCTGAGGTACGTCCTGTACTGGGAAGGCAGCACAGCTTTGTTGCCCAGGAGTCTGGGAGATGTCAGGCTTGTTTCAGTACCTCCTTCTTTACCTGGAACAAGTAGCTTTACCTCTCCAAGCTGTGATGTTTGTACATCTATGAAATGGGGATAAGACTACCAGTTACCCAGTAAGTTTATCACAAGGCTCACAAGAGGTTTTCAAATGTGCCTGGATTGCAACAGACACTAGGTAGTAGAGTTGGTTATTTTGTTACTGTTCTATGTTTCATTTCACTCCTTCCTGTGGAAAAGCGTCTTACACTTGACACCAACAGCATGTGGGGATTATTCTAGAAGAAGCTTTCAGTACTTGAGAGAAAACTGTGTCAAACCCATATCAGATTATTTTTAATAATGCATTTTTTTCTAAGAATACTAATAGAATGTGGGATTTGTCGTTTAAATGTGAAAATCTGCTCCATGAGTATCCTCTATTGAAGATTGAAAGCAGAGTAAACCTTTCTAGAAATGGCCGTGGTTTTCACTAGCAGGTGTTGGCACATCTTGAGGTTTACTGGGACGTATTGCTCATAGTAAGACAAGCATCATTTCCATTGTAAATTGTTTATGAAATGAACAAGGGCAGAAATTAGGATACAGCCTATACTATCCAGCAGCTGTCAAGTGTCTGTTGTGTGTCTACTAATGACTTCATTTGCTGTCAGAGTTAACTTTTATTTGCCACTTGCACTGAGCCTGTACATTTGTTATCTCATGTAACCTTTCCAGCCTCTGAGGCTGAAGCAGTTGTGTAACTCGTCCAAGACCCCAGTGGTAAGGAGCCTTTCTCTCCTGTCTTGTGTCTTGATGTCTGCCTTCTGGAAGCGTACAGGCTGGGAGGCGAGGATTGATACCTAAACCAGACATCTCAGTACAATACGCTGAATCCCGCAAACTCAGAGCTGGAGGCGGTCTGTTCTGCTTGGGGAACTCCCAGGAGGTTCTACAGAGAGGAGACCAGGAGGAGAATGGATGCAAAAGCCGGATAGAAGGGTCTCTGCAGACCTGAGTGTGGAGGGACATGCCATGTGGATGCCATGCAGCAGACGGGCGCAGCCTGTGGGTGGAAGGCGAAGGAACTTGGCTTCACCCCATAGACTTCGAGGAGCTTCTGAATTTCTTAGCCATAGCGGTGACTTGGTCAGATTGTCATGGTAGTTACTTAAAACAAGAAGAATCAGGTTGGAGAGAGGGTTTTCAGGCAGTTGTTTTAAGTGATTAGGGGGGTTGATTGAAGCTTTTGAACAAGGCAGTTGCATGGGGATTGGAAGGGGCAGGGGTCTGTGAAGGGTTGGGTGGTGTGGGTGTGGTGACAGGACACAGACATACGGCATCTAACTCAGCAGCTGGGTCGGCGCTGATGCTGTCTCCAGGGATGGAGGCGGGAAACGGAGGTTTTGGAGGGAAGGCGTTCGGAGTATTGACTGAAAATCCAGGTATAGTTGTCCTACCAGCGTGAGAGGTGCTGCTCCGTCTGCTGGCTGTTTCCTGTGTGTTAGAGGAGGTAGCTGTTTTTAATGTTATAGTAGAGGGTTCATTTATTTTTCATTACAGCTTTGTCAATATCTGTCCTGCTGTCAATTCTTGACAGATTATTGACTAACAAATGCAGGTTTCAAATAACTGCAACAATTAAAAGCACAGTGAGTTTTTTCTGGGAACTTTTAAAGAAATGCCAAGTGTTTGAAGTTTGTAAATGAGCAGGCTTCATGAGAAGGACTGTGTGGTTTGACAGGTACTGCTGTTTTCTCCGTGGTTGCACTCTGTGTCGTGCAGTGACTAGCACCATCATCTCATCTCCATTACAATTCTGTGAATTCATGGCCTTGGTGCTTGTAAGTCAAGCCTCATGCTGGGATAATTGTTCAGCTCCACCAGGCCTGTGAGCGTGGCTGCCCAGAAAGACGTGCTAGGGAGAAACAAGCAGGGGTGGGGTCAGGGGAGCGGACCTCCGGCCCTGACTCCTGCCCTCGTGCCCTCCACTCGCCTTTCCTGCATCCACCTTCTTACCCACGAAAACAGGACTGGACCCGATGGCCTCTGTTCTCTCCCAGTTCCGAAAGTCTCCTGTTGGGCCTCTAACATTTTAGTTCTCAGAAAAAAATAAAAGGTAAAAAAAATTTTCTTGGGTGCTCTGTTTAATTTACTCTTCTTGTCTAGCAATGAAGGAGTGTTATAGCTAAAACTTTATGAAAATGATACTAACACTGTTAGTATAACTAATATACTACTCATCATTAAAATACTACAGAAATGATAGCACTGCCCGTTCGTGCTCAAGATGGGTCTCCACGTGATTTTTCTCTAGCTTACTCTTGTCGCTCTATTCTCTTTAGGGCGGTCGGATGCTGTGTGCTTGGGTTGCTGGGGACTTTCACTCACTTAGCATACGTCTTTAAAACTGCTATCTAGCACAGAAAGGACTACAAAGGCCCTTCTTCTCCCTCTGTCGCCCAGGCTGGAGTGCGGTGGCATGCTCCTGGCCACCACAGCCTTGACCTGCTGGGCTCAGGCGATCCTTCTGCCTTAGCCTTCCAAGTAGCTGGAATTACAGGCGCACACTACCATGCCCAGCTAATTTTTTGATTTATTGCAGAGACGAGTTCTCACCAAGTTGCCCGGGCTGGTCTTGACCCCACAGGCTCAGGCAATCCACTTGTCGCAGCCTCCCAAAGTGCTGCGATTATAGACTGATAGACTGAGCCACTGAGCCTGGCCCAAAGGTCCCTCTTATGTGATTTCTTCAGGATACGAACTTTGTAGGTTTAGATGATATTTATTACAGTGTTAGGGAAAAGCTCTGTCTGTAAGTGACCTTTCTTAAGAATGGCATGTGAAAATTAAGTTTTAGAAATTTTTGGAAGTAAAGCTTTTTTGTCTGAAAAGAAAAAGAACTTTTAAAACTAAGTATACAGACTTCCTCTTGCATATGGTGGCTGCCAGGGAAACTACAAATAGTAGTTGAATGTAGAGGGTTTTTTTTTTTAAAGAAGGACCTATGAATATAAAATGGCAGATAACTGAGCATTTGGAAATAAATTGATCAAATCAGTTTTATTTATAGTAGTGCTGGAACTGTTATTTTTTTAATTTGTAAAGAGTGTATACCTCTAAGAAATTAGACTACTTTGCCTGTGCTGTTTTGTACCATATTATAAATAAAAACTAATGTGGTACATAATGTTTTTGAATAAGGAGGTTGAGTGACCTTAAAAGTTGATTAAATCAGTTCATCTTAGGAGCAGAGAGGCCTTTTCATTGTGGGAAGGTAATTGCAGGGAACCTTCAAGAGTGGCAGAGAGTGCAGCCTCACAGATGGGCTTATCCAAGTGTGACGGTGCTGTCAGTCTTGTGAATTGCTTTTTGAAGTCATTTGCGTATTTGGAAGTTTAAGAAAGAAAAAAAACACCTCTCTAACACTGCTTCTGGTTAGCTCAGCTTGAACATTTGGTTTTTCTCAAGACTGAGACCTAATTAGTTCTTATAATATTTTGATTTTGAAAGAGAAAAGGTAAAGTATTCAATATTAGTGAAATTGGAAGATAATCAAGCAGTGTTTGTTACTTTGGCTCTTGTTAATGGTTTAGTCTAAACAGTTGTGTAGGGCAAGATGTTTATCTTGTCTGCTTTGTATTACTCAAAAAGTAGAGAATTCTCAGAAGTTCCCGATTAGACTTTAAAAACTGTATTAATAAAATAATATTACGCTTTTTAAATCACCAAGAGAAATATGTGAATGTCAAAAAGAAACTCAAAGTCTGTTCTAAAAATTAGTAAGTCTGAAGTTGGTAGCAGGAAAATAATTTCAAGGAACCACCCTGTTGCATGAAAATGTGTGTCGCCGTTGTTGTGGAAGAAGTGGGTGTGACTGAAGGTGAAAAACCAGAGCTGGGACGAGAGTGATATAGAGCGTCTGTGATATAGAGCTGGGACGAGAGTGATATTCAGCGTGGGGGAAGTGAAAGCATAGGGAGTCACTGGAGCGAGCTCAAGTTGTCCCTCTTGGAGGAAGGGAAGCTTCCTGGAGCACCCTGGTCATTGAACCGTCTCGTGGACCTCAGCGCAGGGCTCCTCAGCATCCGTACAGCCCGCCAGAGAGCCCGAGGAGGGTCTTTGTGGGCTGTAGCCTGGTCCAGAAAGTGTGGCTGACTGAAGACAACTGAGCCCTTACAGAGGGCACTGACAGTTTATGTTTTGCATGGAGATGGATGAGTAGCTGCCGTCTGCTGCCTGTTTGCAGGTTTGGGCAGGCAGGACCCTGGAATGTGGGGAAGGCTTTCTGTTTGGCAGTGTCATCTGGAGTTGGTTCCATTTTCAGCCACTGCTGTTCTTGCTTTGGTTTGGTTTCATGGCAGCTTGGGTTCTTGTGGATTTGCTCATCAGGGTAGGTTGTGGTGTGCATTTCAGGCCTGGGATCCTACAGTGGCTAGACCTGAAGGCAGGCCCGACGCGGCGATGCTGCGCACCAAGACCTGGGGCAGCAGCCGAGCAGGGACAAACGTCACGCCCAGACGGCACGTGTCCTCTACCTGCTGCTGCTTCTCTCCATTCAGTTAGCCCACGTCTTAGTGTCTAACCTGTCGCTGTGCTTGCTTCAAGTCAGAGACACAGATGGATGCCACAGCCTTTGCCCTCCAGGGCTCCGGGGTTGGCAGGCAGACACAGGAGCAGACCCCACGTGTGGCGATGCGGACGATAAGTGAGCTAGCTCCAGGGCCTCGTGCTGGCGTGGGCAGAGGAGCGGTGTGCTCCGGAGGGCTGCTCGGGAAGGGATATGGAGTAGAACGAGCTGGGAGTGGAGCCTGCATTTCTGTTTCCCGAGCTGGAGCGCGCGTCTGTCATCGGGACAGGACCAGCACTGGTTAAGCTTAAGGTGTGGCACTGAGTGGGATCGATGTCTTCCTGCTGTTCCCGCTTGCTTCCTCAAACCATCGGCGAAGCTTTGGAGGTGCAGGGCAGGAAGGATCGTGGCTAGAGAGAGTGGAGTAGGCAGACACAGGCAGGCAGACGGAGAGACCACAGCTGCGGGGCAGGGCCTGGAGGTTCTTGATGATGGCTGGAGAGAAGGTTGAGGGTGAGGAAGCAGCGGGAAGATGGGTGTGCCACCATCCGGATGAAAAAGGCACTCTTCACATCGGGAAATAGTAAATGGTGCAGCTTTTTTGGCAAGTCCTATAAAGGGGGCTGGTGTGGGTGTCTGGAGGAATCAGTGCGGTGGGCTGGGTGCTGAGGAGTTGGTGTGGATGTCTGGAGGAATCGCTGCGGAGTGGCAAATGGGATGTGAGGGAGGGAAGAGTAAAGGGTGACCACAAGGCTTCTGGCCCAAATAGCAGAGGCCTTGAGTTGCCGTTGACTGAAGCGTGGAAGACCAGAGCAGAGCAGGCCTGGGGAGTCAAGGTCGGTGTTGGACTCATTCAGCCTAAGGTGCTGTGCGGTATTGAGCGGTGATGGTGAGTTGGCAGCTGGACATGTGGGCTTACAGATCAGAGGAGAACTTGGACTGAAGTTGGGAATGTGGGGTCCTCCATGTGCCTGAGTGCTGAAAGGTGATGCCCAGAGGCCATGTAGAAGTCCCACAGAGGGTGGCCACCTGCGTCATGCACTGCTGATAGATCCTGCAAAATAAGTGTCGATCGCTGGCTCCGACCACACGTGGAGGTCATCGTGGAGGTCACGGAGACCATCACAGGCACTCTCTGTTTTATGCCGCCGGGGCTGAAAGCACGTGGCTTGCGTGGGTTTCGAACGGGGAGGAGAGGGAGTGGACTCAGCAAGTCTCAGCAGCTTTGCTATTGGGGACCCGGCAGATGAGCTCAGGGACGTGTGGTCAAAGAGGGTCCCTTTTGACGTCGTCATCACTGGTGTGAATTTGCGCCATTACAGATTGTGCTCCTGGTTGCCGCTGATGTGAGTGTGCGTCTGTGCAGACTCTGCTTCTGAGTGCTGCGTGTGACTGTACGTCTTGCTTGGAAGTGAACAGTGAGGCAAGGAGACAATGACCCGATGTCGGCTGTGCACTGTTGTTATTCGTTTGCAGAGTGGGTAAAAGTTGCAGGCTGGTCGTTGTTTTCTTGCGATTGGTGTCGTATACTTGCATTCTAACATTTAATTTACCATGATTATGGGAAATGAAGAAATATATGCTGATGAGATTTCTGGGGTCGAAGGCGAATCCGGCAAGCTTATTAGTGATAGTGCGACAGTGATATAATGATGCAGTATAAACAAAGAAATACATGTTTTATATATATAATATGTATTGTTTACAATCAGAATAAAAATACAAAGTGCAGGATGCTAGTCAGAGTGATGTCTGAGGCAAATACTGGATATGTTGCAACTTTCAGCTGTATTGTGAAAAAGGTGACGGTTTAGAAAAGACCACTTCACTTGTGCTTCATGACAGAAGTTTGCAGCAACTAGCTTCAGAATTTTTTTTTTTTGCCCGCCATCAGTATTAATAAAGTGAAAAATTTGCTGATCACAAGTGTGTTAATATATGAACTTGCACAGCATGCTCATACACTGACAGGAAATTTCCAGTAGAAAGAGAAAAAGAAGGCTTGAAAGAGAGTGGGAAAAGGTCCAGGAAGAAAGCCAATGGGCATGCGGGGTGGGGGGCGTTCAGTGCTTCCAGCTCACCCATCCACATGCTTCCCAGGTCCACCTGGACATCAAAATCCTGTGGGGTACCGATGCCTGGGTCCCACCCCTGACCAATGGAGTTGCTGTCTCCTAGCCCAGGGCCCACGGCATTGGCGTCTGCTTAAAGCCCTTCACGTGCATCACATGTGTGACCTGGAGTGGGCGGGAGGATGCCAGCCTGTGAGTCTGGGGGCTGCAGTTTGGCTAGATCAGCTCAAAGAGAGAGGAGGAAACAGGGCTGCAGGCCTCAGAAGAGGGTGTGACAGAGTTGCCTTGGAGAAAGTGGGAAGGATTTAACCGGGGACAGGAAGGTTGGCCAGGCCACATTGAGACTCGCTTTGAAGTTTGGTCATAACGTTCAGGTGTGACCCATCGTGTTCTCCATTTGCTTTGGGATAAGTGCAGAGTAGGAGAGAAGTGACTTTTCAGGGTTGGGGTTCTTGATATAGAGGGTTTCTAGTCAGAATTGAAATGTGAACACAACTGTTTATTTTCCAGCAGAACAGAGGTCCTTCCCAGTGTACCATCTTTATTT